TGAATTCGGCCAGGCCTTGTAACAAAGGCTAGGCTGAACCCATGTGGCTGATGTGTAGATCAATGTTTGGGTCCCACGCCATACAAAGAGAGCCAATTGGGCAACAGGTTAAGGGGTAAGTGAGCACATAAGCTTAATGGGTCTAAAGCCCAATTCGAACTAGGCTTAAGTTAGTTAATTAAAAGGAGGCAAGATAGGATTTATAATCTGATTAGGATTAGGTGAAGGATAAGATAAGTCTTATCCATTCAAGAGTCCAGACCCAAATATCAGATTTGGATTAAGGAACTCTCTCCTAATTAGATTAGGAGGCTGATCCTAAGAAGGCTATAAATAAGGGGGCGAATTCCTCAATTACATAACACAACCTATAGAATTCTTTCCTATTCTTGCCATCTCTACCCAGCTCAATCTCCTCTTGTGGAATTGATCAAGAAAGGTTCTTGATATTGTTTCTTGGTTGAAGAAACAATCTGAAGTCGGGCCACCCGGCCCATGAACAGGTCTAGTGCCATGTGCCCCAGCACGACCCGTTTTACAGCTCTATCCAATAGGCTATCACCCTCCCCAATAGTGGTCCTTGTACAACAGCTAGCATGGCAGCCCTTAGGAATGAATTAGCAAGTTCGAGGACTCCATGGGTCCCTTTGCCTTGGATGGACCTCAAGGTACGTGAGTTTTCTAAGTCACTAACAAGGTCTGATACTCTTGGTTTGTGAACTTTGACAACAGGCAGTATAAACTCTTGTGACGAGTTAGTGAAGAAATTCGTCACCAAATGGTTTACCTTAGAGAGGCGCATGACCATGGCAGACCTGTGCAACATTCAACAAAGACCCAAAGAAGACTTGCTCAACTATGTGTAGCAATTTTGGAAGCCACACATTCAATATTGGGCGAGTGTGTGACCGAGAAAGTGTTTGTAGAGCAGTGTTTCAGGGGCATGCGGTGCCTTAGGATCAGGATAAAAAATCATGAGATACCCAGATCCGAGGTATGAAATGCCCTCTGCAACCTCTCTCAACGTTCCCCAACCTCCTTTACAATGCCATATGACATCTTCCAAACAGACCTTCAATGCCAAACTCCACCCATCCATAGCCATTTGTAGGGTGGGTTGGACCAGATTTGGCATCCCATCTTATTGGGTTAGGCTCAGATTTTGAACCCAACCTGAAAGCATCCCTATCTATGACTATGAAACTTCACATAATAAATGAAATATATCTAGACAAATCAGATGATAAGGCTGAATACTATGGATATCTTGTAAAATAAACAAACGACCCTTACTTCCAATAAATACAAAAAGACACAAGAGATTTAAAACTTTCATTTTGACATTTTTGCTCTTATGTTATGCATTCTCTCATTTTTCAGTTGAAGTTCAAGAAAATGTACTTACCATGCAGCTTATGATGCTAAGCACTTCCTGTTTTTAACAAGTTCCAGTGTGGATTAATCATCAATATTTGGTAATATGGGAATTCCATTATAAGAATGACATTCCCTCCCTCCCCCATTTTCTATCTATATAATCACAATACTACATCAATGACATATATTTTTTCTTCCCTACCTTTGAATTGATATTCACTCAACATAAACATTTAGATTATATGTAAGCTGAGAGCATAAAATCGACCTTTGAAGCTCATCAGGAAACTTATCAACAATGCTGCCCTCTTTCGCGAGAACCTTAACTTTCAAATATTTTTTATTTATTTATTCCTTTTGATTCAACACATAATCTGTTGGTAGACCTAAACAAATTAACAGGTGGTCTTCTGAATGCAAATTTTAGTTTTTGGAGTAGGAAATCTGCCATATAGATTATCTATAGGTTGTTCCTGTGTATAGGATAAGCTATCTTCTTTTTATTACAGGGAAACGGAAGCCTGCAGTTGATTCTTACTTGGAAGTACTGAGGCGTCTCAAAGTAGAGCCATCAAACTGTATTTTCATTGATGACAGGTCTTCTAAATTACATCAGTTAAAAACCATAGATTACTTTTTATTTGGGGGGTTGGGGGTTTGGAAGCAGGTCGGTGTCACTCTTTAACGACCAAAAAATGGTTGCTCCTTTCTAGAATATAGTTGTCTCAGACAGGATCAAGGATTATACTATTTCCTCATTGATCATTATCTAATTTATTCTTGGGTGATCATTACCAGAATGCTAAATGTTGAGGCAGCGATGAATGCTGGGATTGTTGGTCTACATTTCAAGGATGCAGCTTCACTTGAACAAGATCTCTCTTCACTGGGAATTGAGACCAGTTTATCAACAGATGACTACAAAGATGAGGATCTTCCCAACCTCACATGAAATTTTGTCTTAATTTGTCCGTCACCACATGATCTGTAAAGCTATCCCAAAATTTTGATTTTGATATATTCTTCATGCTTGAGTGATTATAATTCTTGGTTAAACACTTAATATATAATGTATTTTACATCTCAGCTCTTGGGTTAGAATACTAGAGCAAGAAACACACACACAGAGATTTAGAGAAGAGAGAGTGAGAAGGTGGCTGAGAGAGAGAGAGAGAAAGGAAGGAAAGAAGAAGAAGAAGAAGAAGAAGAAGAAGAAGAAGAAGAGGGGTATGTGGCGGCAATAGTGACTAGCAATGGCGATGGAGATGGCAACAATGATTTTGTTCACCATCACCGGTGTTGCAACTAGAGGTCAAGTGGGTCATGCTGTGCCAACATGCAGGCCTAAGTGGATCCTACATGCCTTGCCTAGAACCCCAGAAGGTCGGTACTAGCATGGCTCACAGCACGAGCCTAGGTGGGCCCATGTAGGGCATGGTTGTGCCACATGCCTGGTCTCGGTTGAGCTATAGACTGAGCCATGGGCCTAGGCCGAACCTGGGCTAGGTCTTTTTTTGTTTTTTGTTTTTTTTTTTCATTTTTTTTTCATTTTTTGTAAAGTCTAAAAATGACACAAATTTTGGGAAAATAAAAAATTAACAAAAAAAACACTTAACAAAATACAAAATAAACAACAAATTGTAAAAAAATCAGAAATTTTATTTCATTTTAATTTAATGAATACAAAGTAAAAAAAATAAGTTGAAAAAATACAACAGAATATTGGATTTGGGATAAAAGATAAAATAATAATGAAATTGAAAATGAAAATTTACAATGGTATTGAAAAAAATATAAATAAGTAATAACTATTAAATAAAATTGAAAACAAAATTTACAATAGTTTTTAAAAATGCAAATACAATTACTGAGTATACAAAAAAATATTGACTTTAGTATTTTCTTCAACCCACCTCTATCTTCTTGACCTTGATCTACATCATCTGCTTTTGGGGAAACATTAGGTGAAGTGTCATGTCCTTGATCTTGTAGTATATCCTCAATATCCAACCATTTCTTCAAGCATATACATATCTCCTAACTTTCATCATCCATGCAGCTTCTCTGTTGTCTAGTGCTCAAGTACCTATATTAAAACAAGACTCCGATGGAACTATAGACACCGAAGGGGTTATTAAATCATGTGCCATGACAACAAGAATTGAATAAGTTTTTTTTTTTCCATGTTCACTCCATCTGGCTAAAATATCAAAATTATTTAATTCCTTTGAATTGAGGGAAATTGTTAAATTAGTAAAATTAGCTTGTAGATAAAAATTAAGTTCAACAAATGAACTTGATGATGGAGTGATAACTGATTTTTTCCTTCTTATTTGCACATGTACAAGTTCTCCTATGCCTTAATAATGAGATTCATATAAATTGTACATTTCAAATAAGAAATTATTAATTTCATCTTTTTTATTCCAATTTTAGTTTTTATATTTTCACAATAGGATTTAAATTAAACATCTAAACTATCTTTTGAAAACTAATATTTTTTAAATTTAACTTCCGTTACATCAATTATATTTTAAAATTTTAAATTACTTTTATATTTTGAAAATTAATCATAAATAAATGATTAAGTAAAATACAAGAAGTTGGGAAATAAGCATCCAAAAATTGATTAGTTGTATCATAAAAATTCTAAAAAAAATCTTCTGTACAAACTGCAATTTCCCAATCATCAACGATTATAAAAGTATGGGGCATTTTCTCATTGTATAAATTAGTAAGAATAACTTTATATAAAATACAACTCTCTAACATAAAATAGGCGAAATTCTACCTATGTTGAACATCTAATACAAAATTTCTATATTTTTACATAAATATTTAAATTCTTGTTTTCTTGTATTGGAATTTTTAATATACATAATGCAATTTTTAATTTTAGAAATATAATGAAAAATAATATTTAAAGCATGTTGAATATATAAATTCAAGATGTGACATGGACATCTATCATTTAAATATAGCTTTAGATGAGATTTTAAAATATTTATTGTTGAATCATTATTACTAGTATTATTGATTCCATAAATAGGTAAAGTATTTTATACACTTACAACAATTACTAGGCAAGTATGTGATCATTCAAGTCTTGTATAACTTAATTTTTTTTTTTTTTTTTGTAAAAGGCAATGTTCATCAATAAAATGTCCTCTAACAGAAATATAGTTTATATTATATTTGGAAAGTCAAATATCAGATGTAAGTATAGAGTTGACAAAATAGAAATTAATTTTTATTTATATGAATAAAAAAAATTAAAACATTTGCTCTAATTATATTTACCTTTGCGATGCGATGTGATGCCATCTTTTCTCTAACCTCACCCCTTGCCTGGCAATTCTTTCCTCATCACTAACAAAGGAGATAACCTCCACCCATTTGTACCCCTCACCCCTCGTCACAATTCTAACATCTTTCATGGCCATGGTTTTTAAAACCGACTCGGCAACCAAACCGGTCAGGGGTCCCCATTCTGACAAAAAATAAAAAAAAAATTAAAAAAATTGAAATGCGGTCAAAACTGTTCGAACAGTTTGAACAGTTAACCGGTCGGTTCAGTGGTTTTCTGACCAAAATCAGTGGTTTTGGGAAAAAACAGAATCAGTCCTGATTTTTTCGGTCCAACCATCCGGTCCGATCAGGTTTTAAAAATCATGTTCATGGCTTCTCCAACGCTAGCCTCCGCACCAACAACACTTTCAATCACGTTTGCAGGTACTATAGCTAAGGCCTCCTCAATAACACGTGCATTGATCGTCTTTGTGGTGGGCATTTTCATTGTCGTGGGGCTGCTTTGTATTTCCTTTATCAATAACAACAAACTTTATTGAAACTATGAAACTTTAATTACAAGAGAGGGATGCTTTGTATGCTATGAGACTTCTTACTCGGGTTTCCTTTTCCTCTACGTTGGGGGCTACTTTCTCCCCTAGGTTTAGCTTCAAAAGCTGCTTGAGGAGGCCCTCTTCTTCTTTTGTGTTGGGGCCTACTACTTTATCCCCCATATTTAGCCTCCCATGTCTCCTTTTCCCACAACTCAATCATCTTCTTCACAAGGTGCTCTATGCCCACCTGCTCCAAATAAGTCATGAGCCCATGTCTCCTTTTAGATCTCCATTTTTTTTAAGCCTTTTTAGACCTCAAATTGAAACCTTTGTATATTGGAATTACTTCCAAACTGACACCTATGATAAATTATACTATAAAGACATTATCACATTGTATGTTTTTAATAAATTATACTATAAAGACATCTCCACATGCTAGAAATTTAGTTTAATTTGGCAATACATGTCTTAAGTAATGATACTGAGCTTCAAATTAAACCATAAACACGTGATATAATTGAGCATATTACATGGGATATCCGTATCCAAAATTTTCGGAAATGGAGAGTCGTATACCTGTATTCATTTTCCATGTTTGTGTAATAATTATGTTTATTTGTATCTGGGCTTTATAGTCTGATACCAATCTACTGAGTTGAAAGCTCCTACTCTTGTGAAGGAGCACTTTTCTGAATCTTAACAAAAAAATGCCTAATTATAATTTCCAGCCAACTAACTTGACACCAAAATGATAAAGCAATTTGTATAAAAAAGATAATGAATGAAGGCAAAAAGAAAAGGAGAATAAAGATAACAAGTTCACTTAATGTTTCAACGATTTTGGTTTTAGTTCAATTTTTAAATTTTAATATTATCTTTCTTCATCAGGCTTTCAATATATGTCAATATTTTATTTAGAATCCTTGTATTTAATTAGTTCTAAATGAGAAATTAAGTGAAGAGAGAATAGAAGATGATTTTCCCACATTTTCAAGCATAGTATTTGACCAAAATGTGGCATAAGTAATAACAAGGTACTACAATGCAAGCAATACATGTGTGCACATAAACTCCAAACTTACAAATTAGACATGAAATCCACTGATTATCATAAAATAATGGTTTTATTGCCATATCCTTGTTAATAAAGTTCTAGGGGCCAGTACTAGTGTAATGGTAAAATCTTAGGTTGACAAACATGAGAGCACTGGTTCAAGTATGAGAATGGCCACTTTGTGCAAAAAAAAAAAATGCCAAAGATTGGGACTTGTTCAGTCTAACCCTCCCAAGACCCCAGATAGCTGGGACCAACATTGGGTAATAGCCTTATTAATGAAGTTCTCTTAAGACATCACAGAAGATGGAAATAGAAGTGGAAAGCTAGGGACTAGTGCACTGCCCCCCCCCCCAAAAAAAAAAAAAGAAAAAAAATTTTCAAAAAAGAATTTTTTTTCACAGTTTCTTTCATATTGTTTCTCCTTCCAACCAACGGCTATAAAAGGCTAATGCTTCTTGTGGCTTGTACTCAGGGACAGTATGTCCAGATCCCTGCACCAATAGAAAGGAATTTAATCACAACATTGGACGATAAAGGCTCAAAATTGGACAAGAGACTGAATTACTTTAGCATTTCTAAATAATGATATATTTATTCATTTCTTTATTGTGAACATGCAGAAATCTACTTTTCAGTTCTTTAAAATGTTCGGTCAGTGGTATTGCTTATAAATATGCCAATAATTCCAAAATATTTCCTTATTTTCAGTAGAAATTTGTGAAGGAGTCATTGTTTGGTGCAATGATAAAATTTTGGGCTAACAAGCATGAGAACATGGGTTTTAGTTAAAGAGTGGCCACTTAGTGGATAGCAGGTATCAATATTGTAACCTTATCTGAGAGTGGTCCCTTAAATCTTTGGCCATTAACCCCTACTAAGACCCCAGATAGCAGGGACCAATATTGGATAATAATCCTTTATCTGCCGAATTTGTAACCTAATCTGAAAACGGGAAGTCCACAGTTCTCTCCAAATTTCCACATAAAGTACATTGACCCCTACTCTAAAAGAGAAGATAATACCTATATCTAGTAATATCAAGCAGAAAAAAAGATATCCATATTCAATGAAGACACTAAATGCTAGAATTTAATTCTTCTATGCTTAAGGAGAATCATATAAGGGGCCTATGCTTGATGTAATGGCAAAACCTCAATGCTAGAAATGCCAGAGGATAGGCCTGTCTTCAGTGATTGCTGGGACAAGCACTGAGAAATGGCCTTTTTTATGGAGAATCAATATAAGATAATGAATCAGGCAATTTGCATGTACAGACCTTTATTGTGAGAAATGTAAGGTTTTTATCATAGCCTTGGATATACCTGCAAAAGATCAAATATTCTAATTGTTAGAGAACCTAATCATATGAATTATCATAGGCAATTAGCATAATTTCTTATGAGCATACATTGATTTGGTGATCAAATTTAAACTACAAGCACAATTTGACAGTTTTGATATGATACAAAGTGGTTCAATATGAAAGCTATTGTGCACCATTTTCATCTTTCATAATTAAAGAATGAACAACTCAATTTTTTATAAAGAGGAAGTGATAAAACATACCCAGCAACTTGTTCATTAAAAGTCCAAGGTCGCCATTCATCCACAATCTCATATCCTAGTGATTTGGTCCATGCTTCTGTCCCAGTGAATGGAATACACATATCATGGTCACCACTGCCAATTGCACAAACAGAGACGATCTCAATTTGATATATTAGCACAGGAGAATACAAGCCAAAATAAAAGGCACTACACACATGAAAAAAGGCTTTTATCATCATGCTCTCAATAGCAATAGGACAAGTATGGGATTCTTGATAATAAACACTTCCAAAGGTGTACTGCAATGAAGCATAACAATCACATAAGCAGTAAAGCATGCCCAAAGGTCCCAAACCAGAGGAAAGGTTCAAATAGAATAATATAAAAACTCTGATGCTAGGTGCATATCTAAAATAGCAATCACAAAAAGGTATTGGCGTGGAGTACATTCTCTAGAAAATTTTCTCTCAGCATGTTTCAGAACTAAAATGAATTAAATAAGGTAACTTGATCTATACTTGAAGATTAGTGTTGGCAGTGTTTACATAATAAAAATAGATAAACTAGTCCTCTGAAATCAACAAGGATGGGGTATTTATAAGCAGAAGCACATGAACATGTCCAGTACAATTTTAAATATTTAATCTCACCATCTCACCAAGGAACATTAACTGAAAGATCAAACTTCCGTATTGAAGCCTTTATCTCCACAAATAGAAGACACATTATTCTCTTCCCTTGTGGTCAAGTGGTCAAGTACTTCTCTAATAAAAGAAAAATTAATCCTCTGAAATCAACAAGGATAGAATATGTATAACTAGAAGCACATTAACATGTAAGTATAATTTTAAATATATAATCTCTCCAAGAAGAATTAACTGTGAGATCAAAATTCTGTATTGAAGCCTTTGCCTCAACAAATAGAAGACAAACTCTTCTCTTCCCTTATATTCAAATCTTCAAGTACTTGTCTAAAAGTATGAGTCACTTTATGTCAATTCTTTGGAGCCGTTGGTTTGTCTTTTTTCATTTTCTCAGTGTTTTTGACAGTTGTTCCGTTCATATTTATTGGATTTCTAAACATCTAGACCCATATACCAGTTAAATTAATATAGGCTCTGCTCACCATTTAACATAAGGGGGTTCATTCATGGTATTTTAACCCAATTTACAGTAGTAGTGGTATAGCTAAGAAAAGTTAATAGTATGTGTCTTGTGTGTAACTCCATATAGGATTTATCTTCCTGTTATCAGGCTTTATTTTTTATCATCACATTTAAAATATAACCAAAAATTCAATTGATTTTGATGATGAACAATGAAGGAATTATCATACATAGCAACTGTCTATGTAAACATGCAATATGGATCCTTCTTCCCAAAATATGGTGTGGCATCTGGCATGGATGCTGTTTAATTCATCATTAACTAGTAATATGCTAATTCAACTAACTAAACTAAGCTTTGTCGCAACTATATGGACATGAATCCTGTTCCGCCATTCCACTCTGTTCAATAGGATGAAAATAGTTATATATTCTAATTGGATCTTTCTTCAGCTGTGCTATCATCTAAATCACTTAGGATAAGTAAATTGGCTTTCATGGGTATGACCATAGCAGTATAACAATTCAAAGATGGAACACCTTGTCGCTGGTGAAAGAGAAACTGACATTGTGTACAAAATTAAACAAATTGGCATCAGGAATTCTGCTATGGATTTTCTTTACAAGATACCTGAATATAAGAGACCGATATCCCCCAGCAGTGAGGCTTTTATGATACTTGATCATGCTTCCAGCATCATGAAAATATTCAATCTTCCCTGTACATAATTCCCATGTGACCACCGATACCTGAAATAAACAGAAAATCACTAGATATAATAACTGCTTTCAAAATTGATGTGTAGATGATGAAACGGAGACGAATTACTATTTAATATTTAACTCTACCTCTTCAGCATGAATTGCTTTTCTGACTTCTTCATTGTTTAACCATGAAGTTGCTACTTCATCGTCCTACATTTTAACAATTCTTGATGAAAATTTATAATGTTAAGAAAATATAGAGAGAGAACAAACAAATTCAAGAACCATTTATTCATAATCCAGTTGACTAAAAATAAATTCATCATAGATTTCAAGAATGTAATATGGAGCTAGGGTTATTTTGTTAATCGGCAATCCCTATTATCAATAAATGGGGCATTTCTAAGTTGGGTTAATAGCCAAGTCTTTTCACATATACACTTGCATGCCTAGTTGAAAAGGTGTCGAGAAAACACTTGAAACCCAATTCTGGAACAAGGAAATGAAAATCTAAGTGGTTAATATACTTAAATCTTTCTAGTCCAGCTTAATTTTCACTAATACTAACTACAACCCAGAAATTATGTTTATGCCATCACAAATAATCTAAAGCAGCCAATAAGATGAAGTGGTTTCATGGAAACAAAACAAACACCAGTAAGCAACTACTCATGGAAGACCAAAGGTTCACAACTCTAATCCAATAAATGGATGAGTCTAGGCCTTGCAAATATATATGGAAGATAAAAGATGCCAATGTTTCTAGTATGGTAGAAGGATAACAATAAAATGCACCCAAAGGTGTTCTAGTGTCATAAATGAAAAAGGATCTCAACTTAGAAAAGGTTTATTGTAAAAGCAATTGGTAGTACATAATATGGATGCTTGATATATGAGACTAAGATTTGAAGCATTAAATAATGACATGGGGAAGATTCCTGGAGATAGAATAAGAGCAACTATATCAAGTTTTCTCCAACAAAAAAAAATACAAAGAAAAGGTACAAAACTCATGATTTGATTCACCATGCTAATCAGATAAAGATTGCAGAATAACCTATAAACTGTGCATGGTGTCAGTTTTTCTATTTGGTTTAGCACTTTCTGGGTTCTTAATCCTCTTTTAGGAAAATTAGACATCAAGGCTCAGTTTGGAAGGAGTACAAATACAAATTTGTAGAGTGCAGAACCTTATATTTTGTATTATTTTCTATGTATTTGCATAGTACATATTTGTATTTGTACTCCTTCTAAACTAAGCCCAAAGGAAACTCTTGTTTACTTTCTTCTAGAAAAAAAGATTGAACCCACTGTCTTGAGTTTGAGTTCTTTCTTGTGACATTGAAAGACTATAGAATTCCATTAATATTTTAAGCAACCAAAAGATATTAAATATAAGAAACTTACAGTGCATGGAACATTTCCACTGTCCATTAGCTGTGGCCACGTTGGAACATATCCATCTCTTATGGGAGCTCTAAGTGGCCAAGCACGGCCAAACATCCTTTTTCTCACAGCAAGAGGCTTCTCAGTCTCACCTAACTTCCGGAAGCTATATGGCAACCTGATGTTGCCAGCTGCTTCATCTGCTGCCTCTGGACTGTGGTAGCAGGGTTCAAGGATGTTATAGATATTCAGATCAGCAATAGCCTGGATATAAATCAGATATTAACACTCTGTACCTCAATGAAAGATAAAGTTGTTTTGAGCTCATGGAAAATTTTTGACAATTTAAAAAGAAGTCACCTTATCAATTTTTTCAAGCTTTTCTTCACAGATTGCAGTGGCCGAATTCCAATAGCTTCCATTACAGGCATTTTTGGCCTCCTGCACAATTGTACCGTCAATTTGTTCATGACTCTCAGAGCAACAGTCATAGTTCTTTAGTAGGTTACATATAGTTATTATGGTGAACTAAGAAGTATATAATAAAAACTATGTCATAATAATTGTTCTACCCACCTCATAAAATTCATCTGAGATAAGGCCCATCCCATGTGCAAATGGTACAAGAGCATTACCATCAAATTCATTATCACAGACCCCATTTCCCACCATGTAACCCTGTATCAAATGAATGTCATTCAAGCTGACTAAGCAATAACCAGATTTGATACTAAAGATGCGTAGTAGACAAAAGGTCATACCTTGAAGTTTAGGATCGGCTTTGATCCTTTTTTCATTCCTGCAAGAGTGCTAAAGTTATGCATGAAGTTTTAATTCAAACAAATAAATAAATAAAATAGAGTGGTTCATAAAATCAGCTTAAAGAATAAGATACCTTTCACAACTTCAGAAGCAAGAGTAGGCACATACACTCCAGCATATGACTCACCAGCAATAAAAAATGGGTTTGAAAGGAACTCAGGGTATTGCTCAAACCACTATATAGAAAGTCACGGAAATATATCCATTTCAGGTATGCATTATGTTAGTAAGCAGGACATAAGTGTTAAATGCAATGTATAGAGCTGTCCAACATGTTCAACCCACAGATCAGAGAATACAAAGGCATGGCTATGTATAATTTTAATACCAATTTCCAAATTTGTAATAATTGTTTAATCAAAATGCATATCTTAACAGTATCTGTCTCAAATTAACCACCCTAAATAATGTTTCGTCAACTATGCACTGAAAGAATTGAAGGATATGGACAGGGTCCAGCCCCCCCCCCCCCCCCCCCCCCCCCAAGAGCATAAAACTTCACCATTTTGTTAGAAGAGTACCTTGAGGAGAAATGTGTGTGTATCAGATGCAGTTTTTAAGTCTCCTGTCCGGTAGTCAGTCTTATTTCTGGAGTAAGACAATCCAACTCCAGCAGGTGAATCCAAATAGATAATATTGGAAACCTGAAATGCAAACATCCATGAGGAGAGATTGGAAATTCTTTAGATTGTTCTAGTATAGAAACAACAGTTTCCTAAAACATGAACTCTTTTTTATCATCAAGATCAAACACAGATAGTTCATGAAGTCTGACACTCATATTTAATGGAACAAACAAAATGAGGTTAGTCTAAACAAAAATAAAATTTTAACCTTTGACCAGCTATATGGATTAAGATGCAATTTTGGAAGGCTTGTAGGTGTACTTCCTGCTTCAAAATTGAATGGACCTGCAAAATTAGAGCAGACACTATGACAAGTCAGTCTGATCTTTTGACAGAAAACAACCTCAATTCTCCAAGTAAAGGATTGGGACATAAAATGATGTGGAAAGAAAGGTCCTTGCTAACAGATAGATCAAAACCAGCAGGGTAAACCAAAGCGGCCCAATGGTTTCTCAGTTCCAGTTTAAGGAAATCCCAGCATGTCTCAACTATGCTGAATTGCAGCACTGAATTGTACAACCCAGATGCAAAATCAACTCAAGTTTAATCATAAATGAACAGTACCGTCATGGATTCATTTTCATCATGTTATCGTCAATCTAAGAAGACTTGTAAGATTAAAAGGGATCTTCACCAATTCTCCCGAATCAGATTAACAACCCTTAAACAACTAAGAAAGCATACATTACTTGATGGACAGAGGAATGGTAAATTTGAGCATTAAGGACCTTCAGACTACAAATAAAACAAAATTCCAGTCCAGTTTCAAAAATTACTAGGAAACAAGAAAATTGTCAAAGAATGATTACCATGCTCATACACAAATCCATCGAAGCTAGAGCATCCCGGTCCACCATTAAGCCAGAGAACAACAGGGTCATTCGACGCATTCCGTTCCGAAACAACAAAATAGTAGAACAGCTTTTTACCATGACTCTCGTCTATGGTTATATACCTTCAAAACAAGAATTAGAAAAAAAAAAAAAAAACCACAAATTTCACATCAACAATTTAAAACCCAAATAAAACAAAAGAACAAATGAAATTCATCTTACCCCGAGTAGTGCTGGGAAGGAAAAGTGCCCTCAAAACCAGGAAGTTCTGTGATGAGAGCACCTTCAGGAGCTGCTCCAATGAGTTCAAATCTCAGGAACACGCAAACTAATACAAGACAGAGAAAGACTTTATCCGTGGCCATGGCCAGAGTCCAAAAGATGAAGAGACAGAGTCAACTGGACAATTGGTGGGGTTCAGGGCTGAAACAGTATATATAGATAAAAATCGATGATGGGTTCAGTGGATTGTTGCTTAAGGGTGCAAAAGGTGAGTCAAGAACACGCAATTTGATGTGAAAGAATGGAAGCACGAGGGTCCCTAAAGGACCTTTTGAGGCAATTTCTAACGAAAGAAACTTGAAGATTTACTCTGAAGTTTGAAGCAACAGGAACAGCACCATCACTGCAGATGGTTGGGTCGTAACTTAATTACTCCAATTAATTAGTGATGCGTGCAAGGTAACACAGTGCGATAAGTACCCAGATGGCCATATCATGCTTGGATTAAATTGCAACAGAATGAAACAGAAGAAAGGAATGTCGAGTTGTTCTGACCTAATTGGATATTACAGAGTACAGACAGACCTTTCTCTTTCTCAACATCATCCTTCCCTTCAAGGAAGGTGAGAATTTCCTGTCTTCATTGCGGAACAGACAATCACGTTTTGGATTGGGGCTGCATCTCTCATCCATTGACCACCCGTGGCTCGTGGCCACATGCCTGGATGATGAGTACTCGGGTCATAGACTCAGAGGACCACCATTGTATTGAGCTTGAGTGACAGAATGAGTCCTTCAGCCAAGAGATGCCATTTGTGATTTGTCTGAAGATCAGTAATTCAGTATCTTATCGTGAATTCGTGATTCGTGGAGCCCTTTAAGCCTTAAGACACGTTCAGGACTTTTTGATGCAATTTATGATAAAAGGCGTACATGTTTTTTCAGTCATTTGGACCAAAACCCACAATTTTAATGTTAAAAAGTATGTATGGTTCAAAATATCATATACCCACCAACTGCCACTCCGGACCTGCTACTCAGCGACATTTCCTACATTTCTGTCCACAGAACACCATCATCATTTATTGGGAACATCTCCCGTGTTACGGCAAGGGAGATATTGTCTTGTCGGTAGCAGATCTGAGCCCAGGTGGTGTAGTTGATACCTTTGTTGTTGGAAGATTCTTGGGCGAAAAGATCAGGTCTCTGTATATGGTTCATAACTCAGTATTGTCACTAAAGAAATCTATCAATTTTAAAACAAAAACATCCATTTCCTGATCCTCATATAATAAATATAAAACAAACCAGTATCACAATAAATATAATAAGAGCCATCACTATTGATGATTCCGAGTGGTCGGTCATCTTTCTACATCAGCAAACTCAAGAATGCGGAAGGATTTAATGTATTGGAAGGAAATTAAATACACATGGATTTAGAATTTGGTTAACCTTATGTAATACCCAAGACCAAGGTTTCAACAAGGAGTAAAACAAAACCTCATTTTCCGCCTAAGTGAGGAATTTATAATTTTCCTGTTCATCATTCAATAATATACCAAAAAAGAAAGAAATGAAATCACCCATTCAAGTAAACTGGGCACTACAATCAGATATAACTCCAAAGACTAGCAAATAAAACAGCCCCCCCTGCAAAAGAGGCAGTAAAAAAAGAAATGACACAGATCGATTCAGATTCCGCACCACATAACACATAATATTACTCTTTATATACAATTCCAAATCTAAACAAACTTGTCTCTAGTTCCTACAAAATCTCTACATAACCTCCATCCATTCATCAAAAGGCACTTCACATCTCATTCAAAAGCAATGCTTTAAAAAATCACCCGAAACCTGAATCATCCGGTTCTAATGGATGGCCCATTCTAACAAAAAATAATTAAAAATAAAAAATAGCCAAAACCGCTGAGTGGGTCAAACAAGTCGATGGTTCAATCGCTTGGGTCAATGAATCATTGACCAATTCAACAGTTTTTTACTAAAGACCAAATTTAGGATAAAATGGAACCAGTTGCCTGATGGTTCCCAGACTAAACAGTCCTACCATCTAAGTCAGCAGCGGTTCAAAAACATTGTTCAAAAGCAAAGACCCAATGCAGTTAGACACATCAGACCAGATCATAGAGGGATCCTGTCGAACTCGGGTTCAGTCATCACAAAACAAAACGGTGCCCACACTGTTCTCACAGCCATTGTCCTCACACTGTCCTGATCAATTTCTAATTGAGTTTCAAGTAAAAGTTGAGAGAACCTGCAGTTTTTGTTGTCTCTCCAGTCTCCATATTAGCCTATCATTATCTTCCTCCAAAACTATAGATTGAGTTCATTTTCTTCTGGTTTGCCCACTTCAGGAAGTCCTCCACAACATATTCTACATTGACATCTCAAGCTTCAGACATCCTTCGATCAAACTTAGTTCTTTCATTTTTTTTCATCTTTTTTTTGTCTTGTTTGCTAGGTTTATGGTAACAAATAGAAATTATTATTTCTAGGTAATGATTCAAAAGTTTTCAACATTAATGAAAATATTAATTTCTTACAAAAAACGTCGTATGTTTCTATTTAGAATTATTATTTCTTTGATAATGTTTTTATTTTTATTTAAAACATGGTTTTGAAAATCAGATCAGACCGAATGGTCAGACCAATTGACCCAAGAACCGGTCAGGCAACCGGTTTAGTTTCACCCTAAAACTGTTTCTAAGCTAAAAAAACGTTGACTTGGTCAATGACCCGCTGACCAAGGTTGTCAGACCATCGACCTGTTGACTCAAACAATAGTTTTTGGCTATTTTATTTTAATTCTTTTTTAAATCAGAATGGATTATCCACTCAAACCAGAGGATCAGACTATTTAACCCAAAAACCGGTGGCTAAAACGGTTCCATGTCCAGTCCAATTTTTAAAACCTTGATTTAAAACATTGCATCCTTTTTTCTTAGGATATTACGATTGCGTTTTGTATTTGGCCCATTGAGGCTTGGGTGAATTGCTATTTGATAAGATGGGCCTGGGCTTATTTATTTGGCTATTTCCTATTTGTATTTTAGCTGGCTGTTGTTTTGTTTGGCCCGTGGATTTTGTATTCTTTTCTTTTTAATTAATAAATTTTTTATTTTATAAAATGGAAAATACCTGTAATATTATCAAAATATTACTTAACGGGAATGCCTAATGTTAAATTTTGGGTTTTGAACACAAGAAGAAATTAGGCTGTAATTTTTTTTATTATATAAACATATGGGTTGTTTCAGCGGTAGTGCGGTTTTGAATCCCGCTATTAACATTTCTGTAAGAAAAGAATTATGTGATTACTTGAGGCTGTTGATGTGATATTGTATTGTTCAATTAATAGAGTAACGACCCCTCCCTTATAGGGTGTTAGACATTGATTAATACCAAAAAAAAGTTTAAAAAGAATATAAATACAGATGTATAATACAAATGCATACAAAATACAAGGTTTTACACTATAGATATTTGTATTTGTACTCCTTCCAAACTGAGAACATTTTAGAGGTTGAGTACGTTTCATTCTATAAGAGATCAGCCAGTTTCTCGACAAGCTAAAACAAACAACAATTGAATAAACCAGTAAACATGTTTTTTTAATTGTTAAAAGAAATTACAACATAACATTTAAAACAATGTTTTGTTCAAAAAGTTTGTGTGTTTTGCTATAATTAGGCTTCATTTGTTTGTAGTGCAAATCTGAATTGGCTATAATTTTGTACCTGGTTCAGTTTTGCATTTTTTTAACTATGATTGGCACTCCTATTTGATACAAAATTTGTATTTTTTATCTCATTTCCATTAACTAGAAGTGAAAATTAACAACATTCTATTTCACTTCTTACAAACAAATATGACAAAGGCAAATATGAAGCAAAAGTTACCAGAATTTATATTCAGCCTGATGCTGCTTGATCCGAGGTAGCTCTTGAACCAAAGTCATAGTCAGATAATCTTGCCAACTGAGAGGAGCCAAGGTGGAAGGACGAAGCCGCGCTCCAAGATCTGAAACCAAGAAATCGGTCAGAGGCCCGAGGAGTTATCTTCGGGTAGGTATTCTGATGCTCAAGTTAGTCAAGAAAAGTGGGCGATCAGGCCGAATAGTTAGAGAACGGTGCTGGTCCGATTAGAGTAACAGTATGGAAGTAGAAAGTTGGATTCCTTACCTTGAGTGGGAGGTACCTTTTTATATCCGAAGATCTGTGTCCTGGTCAAATAAGGCTTCCGGGGTTGTTGGGATGAGGTTGCCTGTCGAGGTCTTCGGGATAAGACCTAATCCCCAACGGAGTTGTCCTCATCCGCATGACGTTCTCTTCTCTTAGCCGCGCTTATCCATATGACGTGGTGCCAATGTGGCCGAGGTGATAAGGTGACTGCAAAGGTGGTGTCACCTGGGGCCAGCTCAACCATAACCAAACATAGTCTATTTGCACTCTCATGCATTTGATAAAAGTGCAAACTCAAATATGTTTAGTGTAGATACAAATACTTAGGGTTCATAAAAAGGCAAAATTTGTAATGGGAACAAATACAAACAAAGATTGGAATCTAGCTTTTTTATGTTGGCCAACTTTAAGTGCAAAGTTTGCTTCCGTTTTTTTGAAGCAGCAGAGTTTGCTCCTATTTTTGTACAAAAATGTATTCTTGCAAAATACCTGTAAAACTGAATCAGGTGCAAATTCGTTTCAATCCGGCATTTGCACTCTTACCCATGGTTTTTAAAACCAAACTGATCAGGGGTCCGGTTACCGGTTCGAACTGTCCGACCATTCGATCCAAACGGTTGGCCCGTTCTAACAAAAAATAAATAAAAAATTTTAAGAAATTGAAAAACGGTCAAAATCGTTCGAACGATTAACCGGTCGGTTCAGCGGTTTGCTGACCAAAATCATCCGCTTTGGGGAAAAACAGAACCAGTCAAGTGACCGGTTATCGGTTTTTCCAGTCCAGTCCAGTTTTGAAAACCATGCTCTTACTAAATACAGGCTAAAAATCTAAAGGCTCAATTTGAAAAAAGTACAAATACAAATATACACAGTACAAATACATACAAAATACAAGATTTTATACTCTACGTATTTATATTTGTACTCATTCCAAATTGAGCCAAAGTAAATGCAAATTTTACAACATGGTGGTAAGATTTGCATTCAGTAGTCTTGGACACTCCCACTCATTACTTGCCCCATTTTACAAAGGAATAATCTGGCTGCATATCAACCTTAATCCTATGAATCAAAACAAATATCTCAAGTTGTTCATAGAAAAATATCAAAGTGTTCCAAGTCAAATGCATCAAATTTCTTAGACAAATATTCTATTTTGAGCTGGACAATTATGGAATTATAGGAGACAGCTCACAAGCAATTGCTTGTAATTTGAACAAAGCATGAATCATGCCACATAAACAATTGAAAAAGTAATTTATTTTTCTTCATTTTCAATTGGGTTTGATTTCGCTTTTTTTGGGTCATTTTGAAATCATGACTTGTTCTCAGCTTTAACAGTATTAATTTAGCTTTGAAGGCAATTCATCATATTTTAAATTACAAAATTATAAGATACCTCACAGCTACAGGATTACAAAATTATAATGGTTGCCTCACAATTCAATAGATTCGTCACTTTAAACAAAATGTCAACCACATCACAAAAATAATTTTTCAAATTGATCATTTTTTAATCTTATGTCTTCAACTAAATATATATCTCTGCTTTTTTTTTGGGTCTTCTTCAAGTCATGACTTGTTTTCAGCTTTAACTGATTTTATTTAATTTGAGGCAATGCATTACAATCACATTTACAAAATTATATGATACACCTCACAATCACAACTACAAAATTATAATGCACACCTCACAATTCATAAAATATGTTACTTTAAGCAAAATATACATCATAAAAATAATCATTAAATATAAATTTTTAATATAAGTTGGGTTTCTTTCAATACTTTTGTCTTCAACTGCAAGATATTCCATTGAATCTCCTATTCTGGATCACAAGGAGAATGATGGATGTTGACTAAACTTGTGAAATAACATTTTTTAAAGAAAAAAAAATCAGCATGAAATAGGGTTGCTACTCTTATATGGCTATCTATTAATTGCTTAATGAAATTTTCAATTGATGCTTTTATAAGTAATGGTTGTCACATCCAGATTCCAGAAACAGATTAATGGTGTATCAGATGGGTTGACTTTGCGTATTACAATGTTACAGTGTTTACTGTAGGGAATAAGAGATGATGTAGGTTGTTATCAGAATATTTTGACCACAATATTCATGCATTGAACCACTTGACTTTGAAAAAAGATGATTTTATAATGTGATAATTTAGGCATACCCCATTTCTGAGAAATGGGAACCCTCAATCAATAGTCAAAGACTGTATTCTACAAACACAAAATGCCCTTGATTAATTTTGTTATTTATCATAGATGGAGGAACCTTTTGGTTGTTTCACAAACCATTGTTAAGAGTTGAATATGGGGTGATTCTGAATTCAGCCCCCATTTTGTAGAGCTGCCTATTTTTGACTATTGCCCTGTTTTGAGCGATTCTGGTATTAACCAGTGAATCAAGATTTTTAACTAAAGAAAATAAATAGCAGATAGTTCAAAATCAGTGGGCCGGTATACAAATATACTAAGCTCATTTTCAAGTATCACGTGCACGCATTTGATGAGGAAAGGGAGAAAAAACGAAAGTTTTAAGTAAATATGTGTGGCATCGATGTTACATATACAGCACTGTTTTCTGAGAAAATGGAGAAAATGGTGCTGCTGATGTATGAGTTGGAAGCATAGTTTTCTGAGAAAATTGTATCTTTTTTTCTATTTGGAAATGTTGCTGTTAGGTAGGACGTTTCTTGGAGCAACAACAACACTTTCTGTTTAGTACTAGTGCTTCATATCTGTCTTCAGCACAGGTACCCATTATAGTAAGTCCACATCATGTCCTTGTTGGTAGCAACGAGCTGCAATCTAAGAAAACGTCAAATTCAGCATTGCTCCAAACCACGCCTTCTCAATTTTCAAGGCATGGCTTGGAGCACCGTTTTTTATGGAAAAACGGTTTCAAACATATTGGCATTTCCTGGAACATCGTTTTTTCCGACGTGGCACTGATGTATCACCATTTTCTAGAGCAATGGCATCGATGCCAAACAGACACTAAGATTGCAAGTAACAAGAAGACATACAACGAAAAGGGTTAAATTCATTTGGACCTATATGGTCAATGCAATTGTCTTGGTTGAACGGGTTGACAATTCAACCACCCAGGTCAGTGGGTCATTTACCAAATTAACAATTTTTGGCAAAAGACCAGATCAGGGGTAAAACAGAACCGGTTGCCTGAATGGTTTTTCTGGTCCTACCGTCTGGATTAACAACTCAAAAACCATGGTTGATATAGTATTTTATAAAAATCGACTCAGAAGCTGACCTGTTTTTTTACTTCTGAGTGGCAGGTCAGCGGTTTAACCATCTGGGTCGAATGTATTGATCCGTGTGCTACCCACAAGTTTTTCCCACATCCCTAACCATAGAGCATCACCACCATGTATTGGAAACATCTCCCTATGAATGACAAGGGAGATATTCCCAATGCGCAGCTGTAATGTCTGTGGGTGGAGATGTGGGAACAGCTCATGGGTAGCAGATCCGAGCCCCAATTCAATCACCCGGGTCAGTGGGATGCTGACCAATTCAATGATTTTCAACAAAACTTCGGGTTTAAGGTTAACCCGGACCGGAATTATTATTGGATCTGCTATTGAAATTTTAATAAATTCAACCCAACCCAAATTCTATACTACATACAACAGTACAATAACAGAGCAGCTGATTTAACAAGCTACCTTCAACGTCATATGAAGAAACTTTGGTGTAGTTTTCTACTCCCTTGTATAGTCATACCTGATCTAGGTTTTAAACATCAATATACCAAATGTAACTACGCAATTTTTTATCCACCCAAAAAAAAAAATGTAACTAACATAATGCATTTATTTTATCATCCCTGTAGCATAATCTTCCATATTTTTTTTCTCTATTTCATTGAGTAAGCCAAAATGAAACTTCATTGATAAGTAATCATCATGATGGGAAGGGATTTTATAATTTAGAAGCAACCTACTTTTCTTTCCATTTTGGATACGTATATATTCTTTGTAGCCACTTTTAGAGCTGGGTGGAGAACATGTGAGGCACCAGAAATTGCATCGGAGAATGAAGAGGGGATAACGTATCAGAGAATGAAAGGGAAGGGGAAGGGGTTGTCTGCTCAGAGAAGAGCTTGGAGATGGTGGTTGATTCCAAAAAATTAATATTGGAATTTAAAAAATTCTATACATCACGTCGAGCAGATTGTAATGGAAGGCTAACAGATGCTACCAGCAGAGAGGATTTAATCAATTGTCAAAACAAAACTAGGAAATACTTTTTTTAAGTCAATTTCCTAAAATCTTGGGGGGCATTTAAAAGATTTACATTTTACTACTAATTATTATCTTTTTCTAAAGCATTTTTAGGATACTTATGGATGTAGTGTTTGTTTGAAACTTTGAACGAAAATACTTTTATCGGCGGCTAGAATTCCTCTTAATAGAATCCTCCTACAGCTACAGAATTTGCAGTTGTCTTCAACTACCACCACCGGCGTCATTATCATCAGCTACCCACCAATTGACACCATGCGCCAGCATAGTTTTGTCCGACCCCACTTAACGTAAACTTCATGCTGTTTCATTCAGTGACCATGCTGAGCAGGGTAACCACAATTTCAATTTCCATATCTCACATCAATTATTGTGGTTCAACTTCAACATAAGCAGGAAATATCAAAGGTCTGCCCTGTGTTAAGTGTGTTTGTCTGTTTGTCTGTTTGAGAGAGAGAGAGAGAGAGACAGACTGAAAGGGGGCCACGGTATCATAAAATCATTAACATAATGGTAAAACCAACAATTCGCACTAACTAGAGAAGGAAAGGGGAAAAGAAAAAATGGAGAGTTGGATTTCACAAAAATTCCAATTCAACCCACAGTAGAGAGAAAACGGATTACCCAGACACGCTAATAAAGCCCGGCCCACCTCTCCATAGTCTGACCCCATCACAAACAAATAACGAACGCCCCCTACAAACCAATTTCTTTCTTCTTTTCCGTTGAAGGAAAAAAAAAAAAAAAAACTCCCATAAATTGAGAAAAAATAATGAAGATTATAATGATAGAGCAAATATTATTAATATAATTGAAAGAAAACCACAGCCAACTTAACCCCTTCTCTTCCCCTCGTCACTTTCAGGTCTTCCCGATTTCCGGTGGCCTCTTCTATTATTCTCCAGGAACAAACCTCGGCAGTGTCACCAGTGTATTCACGCGTGAGACACCTTCAAGCGCAGACCATTCCTCTAGTAGTTGTGTATCCTCTGTTGCCTCCATTAAACCACCTTCCTCCTCCCCTTCCTCTGGTAGGATCTCAGCGCAGGTTTTCACTGTTCCTGATCGATCCAGCCTAGTTGGGGATGACGGCTTGTGGTTCTCATTGCCATCATCATGTTGGTCCAATGAGGATGGCTGCTCTTTAGTTTTTAGATAGGCAGTGGCTGAACTGCTTGATTCATTGTCAAGGAAGAGACAGACTACTGCACAATCATCAATCTTGGACGTTGGATATTTGAATCTCCATGCTCGAACTGCTGATTCCACCAAGGTTCGAGCTGCTGAGGACCGTGCTGGAGCTGAAGCTACTATTTCTACTACTTCCTTGTTTGAGAGTACATCCCAAACCTGGCCAAAGAAAGGAACCATGCAAATTATACAATTAAAGTGTGATCACCCAATCAAACCTGATCATTCCAACACACATACATTTAGACTACTAGTTTTCATGTTCAACAGTGATTAAATTGATGCCTTTAACTGAATGAATGGTTTGGTGTTGATAGAATTTCACAATGGACTGATGTGAAGGATATGAACTTGCACTGTAACAATACTCCACAAGTGACCAGAATAGCAAGTGAATACATCTAAAATTTACATTTTCAGTCTTAAAATATAAAAGCAATTCAGAGAGGGATGGTTCGATTTATTTCTTGGGCAGTTTCACTTTTACAACATGGGAGTTAGAATCAGACATGTTTAAGAATCTAACTATGCAAGATGAGGAAAAATGGATTCACTAACACATTTATGGAAAAGCATATACTATTAAAATAGTTCTTACATTTTGAATTCTAACATTGTATATACTTCCGGAAAAAGGATCTAAAATGTTGCCTCATGTACATATAAGCTGTTCATTTATGTCAAACAAGCTAGGAGAAGGGAAATGTTCCGTAGAAGTATCCCTCAATAATATGTAGAGTGTTGGAATCTGGAGGATGGCTGACACAAACATGATGTACATTTAGGACAATCCATGCAACATTCCTTTGGTTTACCTAAGAAAAGGGGGAAGGCTTAGGAAAAAGTAATCTCAGTGTGAAAGCCCCATATGGAAGCACTTGTCAAATTGAATTTTGATGGCCATCTTTGCGGGCCTAGTGGAAGAATCTACTAGAGCTGAATTGTCTGAGGTACTACAGGGAATACAGATTGCAAATGAGATGAATTTGGAAAATGTGGTAATAGAAGGTGATCCTAAAGTGGTGGTGAGATGGTTGAAAGAGCTGGAATCTGTAATTTGGGGCTACCTAAATGAGATGAAGAAATTTAAATGGTTGATAAGAATCATGAATTTGAAAATACAATGGGTGAGGACATCCAATGCTTTCGTTGATACTCTTTAAGCAAGGGGTGAATAGGGAACAATTGTATTGGGCACGGTTGTAATTGATGTAATTGTTTTTTCACTATGATGGGAAAGGTCACACCTCACACCTCGCACCTCTCTGGAATGCTTGTACTGATAATATTTGTACTGATGTCCACTTGTAATGCCGTTACTCACAGATTTAAGAAAAAGATAGTCCATGCAACATTGTTCATAGGTTACTATGTATGAATGGCAATTCAAAGAGAGTTATTCTGCTTAATGGACATTAGTCTCAAAGATGGAATTCAAGCTTTTGTTTCAAATTCTCAACTTAAAACACCACCATAGTTAAAAGTCCCACAACTTAAAACACCTCACAACTCTCTTAAGAATATGTAATACAATTTTGTCCATTAGTAACTTCTTTCTTAACTTCTAGTTTAAGGTGGCACTTTTTCAAGAATGTCTAGTGAAAGATTAAAAAATTGTGAAATTTTTTTTTCTAGTACTTGAGTCAAAAACAGTAAGGAATAAGAAATCAATTATTTCGGTGTATCTTCTTACCCCATCTGTAGCCAGAACTATAAACTCATCCTTCTCAGTGAGATGTCGATAAAAAATCTCAGGTACGGATATCAGACCAAAATCCTTGAGGCAGAAATCCCCAAAAGCCCGTGCCATTGCTAACCCAGGGGAATCATAATTTGGCAGCCAGACTCGAGCAACCTCAGGCTCATCCCTAAGGGCAAATACCCTCCCTTTACATTTCCGGATCCTCTCTGCTTCCCCTATAAGGAATATAAGAAAAAATAGTTAACACATTCTCTTTTCATAAATCCAAATCCATTTAATTACTTGCATGGCTCTAGTGATGAATATAAACATAGCAAGAATACCAATAGAAACATGCCTAAAATAATAGCTCACACTTTTGCATTTATGAAAAGCCTAATTTATCAAACATCTCAATAATTTATTACTTATCTATTCTAACAATAAAAATTTATATCAACATGGTTAAATATATTGTATTGTTAAATGCTAACAAAAGTGAGAAAGGATTTGGCCTTGATAACAAATGATAATAACATTAACTCCACAAATGTTTGTCTTACACTGGCAGTCCCAAGCCCAGATAAAGAATGGTTGCATCAGGTTGGAAGTTGGCATCAAAACTTAGCCAAACTTTTATCAACATGGTTCCTAAGCTGTCTTTTCATGCAAATGAATAGAATGAAATGGCAAAACAGGATTCATGCAGTTGATCCCATATGGTTGGAACAAGGGTTGGTGCTAGGTTCTGGTTGGCCAAATTTCATTACTTACTTTTGCTTTAAAATAAAATGTTTTCATTTCCTAGATTTTGGGATTAGTCGGTTAGGGTTAATCATCTTTAGCATTAGAACATATATGGGGCAAAGTTATGATGCTTTAGGAGTACTATACTTAAAGTTACACTGAAAAAATCTTAGGATTAGCCTTTAAACTTTAAGATTGTTGATGCACATACATGCATAAATGCATACATACAATATTTACATTTCTATGCAAAATGAATAGACATGTGGGTTTTGGGTCAGTCAGTTAGCCCAAGGCCTCAACCCTAACCCAACCCCAAGTTAAGTCAGGTTCATATTTTTCAACCAAACCCAACATAACCCAACTTTTTCAGGTGCAGTGAGGACTAACCCAGCCAAAGTTGCAGCATTAGCTGGCTTACATAAAAAATGCATCTGTCTAGGTGACAAGGCATCCTCCTAGGCCACAAAAATCACATAGCAGGAGCTATATTGTATAATATTATTACAGCATAGATACATATTATTGCTATATTTGTTAATAATTATATTTTTATGCTTTCTTTAAAGGTTTTACCATTAAATCTTCTCTCCCTCCAAACCCTAGCCTGAATGCCAAGGTTTACATAAAAAGGCGTCGGTCTAGGTGACTAGGCACCCTCCTAGGCCGCAAAAATCACATAGCAGGAGCTATATTGTATAATATTATTACAGCATGGCTAAATTTTTTTATTCAGTAAAAGTTGGGGTGCAACACGAGGACTTGAACAGGAGGTCACAGCATGGCTAAATATTATTGTTATATTTGTGAATACATATTATTTTTTATCCTCCCTCCACCCTACCTCTGAATAAATATATTTTTATCCTCTTGTAATTTTTTCATTTTCGTTATTGTCTTCTCTTAAAAATTGTGTATTAGTATAAAATTATAGCCTTCTATAGTTGATAATAATTAACCTAGAATTTAGTTTGCCTTTGTAAAATTCTATCACATAGGTGACTAGGCACTCCACTATCACCTAAAATCAACTAGATGCATTGACAAGTATGGCTTGATTTATAATGGACATCATCCCATTATCCCTTTATGGTCCTCATCAATTAGCGTTCGTCACATAAAATATCTTTTAAAATGTTAAACTTAATCCTGATATTCCACAATGAAGGGGAATAACTGGTTAGGCTTCCCATTTTTATATATTCAGTGAAATTTACAATTGGATAGTAATTAGATAAGATTTAAGGAGAAACAATATTGCAGTTTAAGAAGTAACTAAAGGAGAAATATTGATATTTGACATTATACTTTCAACATGAAGAAATTTTGTATTCATAAAATAGAAAAACATGTAAATGGAATTCCATAGTGGCTCCTTTAAATGCTTGAAATTGCCTTTTTGTCTCCGATTTTGATCCAAATTTTCAGTTTGAATTCTTACTTTAGAGAGCATTTGGTTTTAAAATGGCATTATAGAAGTGGCATAAGCAACACAGAACTGCAAAATGCACTTCGTATTCTTCTTTTTTTTTTGGTCTTGACTAAGACTCAATCTTGAAGAAATCTTAACCTGATTAAGGAAGTTACCTAATTGTTATCTTCAGCATACAAAGGCAGTTAGAACTTTGGGTAATAATAAAACAGATATAGTTCCAAATTAAATAGGATAGAGATGTACTTGGCAGATTTGGTTTGAGGTCCACGGTCAACTGAACTGCAATAAGAGAGTTCTCCTGATTTCTTGTACCCAATACAGCTCTAGAATCTCCAACATTTCCAATGACAAGATCTTGACCCTGTAATGAACAATGAAGGCATTGAGAATATTGTAAGAAGTCATTAAAATTTATTAGGATCAAGATTGTGATGCATATTACCTGCTTGACCAATGTGACAGCGGTTGTGCCACTGCAGAAACAATCAATATTTGGGTGAAGTCTCAGTTCCTTGTCCATAACTTTGAAAGCTTTCAGGAATGACTCTTTCAAGGTATGATAGATTTCTGGGTGCTTCTCCTTTTCTTCAAGATCCACAGATACCCTAGATTCACCACCTGTATGCATATAGGCATTTTCTTCAGAGCTCATACTTCCCATGATGCTGCTGCTGATTTCTCTATACCCATCTTCGCTACCTCTGGTTACTTCCCAGTGGGCACTTAGCTTCAAAGGAAGAGAATCCCTCACTCTTCTTGCAACCATGTGACCATTGGGACCATGGCCATCAAAAACACCACAGAAAACAGTGTCTGTTCGTGAACCAAAATTCTGGACATACAGATGAATTCTTTTAGGAATATATTTAATATGGAATTTAAATTTCCTGTCCAGCTTGCACATGCTAGTTATATTAGGAAACTAAGAAACTAGATGATGTGCTAGAAGAGAAGTTGGATATTCTCCATAAACAAGGAAGCAAAGGGTAGAACAGTCTAATTTCCATATGATCAAATGCATCATTGACAGACTCATCCACTACAACATTGGCAAAAATAAATGCACTGGGAAATATACTCTGTTTCAACTTTATAAATATATACATATTTTTCTTTTTTACACTAAAGGAGTATTGAGATCAAGTGAAATAATAGGGCTAAAGTAACATAACTCACTAACTGAGGCTGATTGCAACACACAAAAACAACAAAATCAACTCCATCTTTCCAAAGGAAAGAGTGACCTGATCATCAAAACAGTTGAACAGATTAACTTGGACTAGTGGTAGCATAATTAGAGAAAAACCTTGCATCATAAGATGAAGGAAGAGAACCAGTATTTTAAATTGGAAATAATATTCTAATGCCAAGCGAATGCATAACTGTACAAGAAAAGTAAAAAAGAAAATATGAAATTAACAACAAGAAAGAGATGAAGTGTTATAACAGATGGGAAATAAAATCCAAATATAGAGATTAGAGAGTAATTAAAATTACAAGTTGATATACATGAAAAAGTACAGTATCTGGGCATCAACCCAAATCCAAATAAAGCATTATTAATTGAGTGAATATTCTTCCATGTTCCAATTAAAAAGGACATAAATCCAAACATACAGCATGATCACGGACCATATAAGGTAGAAAATTGGTTCCAACAAAATGATAGCATAGCATATTGAGAATCTAAGATTCGTACCTCCCATACAATCATGGCATCTTGATTAGTCCCTTTCTTCCCTTGTTGGGTAAACAGCGAAGCAACTTCGCTACCTCCATTCAGGAACATTCTCCCAGGAATCCTATGCAGCTGCTCTTCCCTCCTCGAGTCAAAGGAAGAACTCCGCATCCCAGGCTTTTTCCGCATGTTCTTCCTCTTCTTAGGAGTGGATGTCGGAGAAGAAGGGAGCGAGCTCCCCCCATCCAATGATAAGCAGGACCCCATCCTGAGGGCCCTGATTATATTCAGTAAGCACTCCAGACCAGCGTAACACCCACAGCCTCTATTTTCAATTGAAGGCTCCGTTAGAAATAAATCGGATTTCCCCTTTCTGCTTTCAACTCCTTGATCGTGTGCAAAGCCACAAACCAGATGATTCACCTTTCGTCTGACCCAATCGGAAGAACTTCAACGCCCTGAGAAGAGACGAAATTTCTACTAAAAATCCTGAAAGGCCGGATTTTTTGTGGGATGCCCTTCAACTGGCTTAAAGTGCAAAGCCTGAAATCCTTGATGCCTCTTTTCTATTTATCTTCCCAACAATTACTAAAGGTTGAAAAGGTACGGCTAAAAAGTAGACGGTAGAAGACGATACAATAGCCGAGAAGTAATTCCAACACGATCAAGGTACTGTAGAACGAAAACGAACTCCAATATCCACAGCAACTCCCTTTTTCTTACTGATTCAATCACAAACGCAATATCCCAACAACACCAATTATATTGTCTGCGGCATAGAGATCAATATACGAAGTTTACGATCCCTTTGCATGCACACTGAACGCAACAACAATTTCTCTTCCTTGATCTCAAACTTATCCCTAACCTTTCCCCTTATTGAAACAATCTAGATTCAATAGCTTCCGCCAGAACAAGAGATCAAACCACAAACAGAGCCCAAAAACAGAGAACTTTCCCCGATCTTGTAACTGACCTTCTTCCTTTAAGAGATCGAGCGCAACATCATTGCTAAACGAAGAAAAAACTTACCGAAATTAGCCAATACTTCTGACAAAAAAGCAGAAAAAAGGAAATCCCGAATCCTTAGGAAGAAGATGTGCTCGCAGATCAGCAACCTACCATCCGGGCCAGATCGAATTCAATGAAAGTAATCCGTCCGAAAACAAAGTACCCCCATGCAGAGATAGCACAGTTATATCGAATCCACTAAAAGTTAGAAGAAACCGCGCTAGATCACTCGAGTAGGACGTGATATCTCTTCAGAGCGATCAAAGAGAAGACATTATTAAACCAGAAGACCAACTCGATGAAATCCTCTTGTCTGCAAATCACCCACCCCGTTCGTCGCTTTCAGCTCGAAACAAGAACCGACGAGACGAATAAACCAATCGATCAATAGCTTCTCGTCGTACAAATTGACACGAATAAAAACAATAATAAAAGCAAGGCAAAGACGGATCAAACAGAGAGAGAAACCCTAAAACTCTGAACGAAGATCAAGAGAAGGTAGGAATAAGCAGTAGCAGCCATTGACGAGATCTCTGAACAAAACAAGAGAACTTCTCTTTCCAGCTTCTCGATGCTTGACCGGATCGAGATTCCAATTCCAATTCCATGGCGTCTGTTTCTCGTCTTCTCTAAATTTTTATTTCTTTTTTATTTAATTTCCATTTATCATTCTTATATTTTTCCAATTTTCTTTATTTTTCCTAAAATCTTATCCGAAAACCACGAACTGTAGATTTGGCGGGACTGATTCATTAGTTATTTATATTCTTCGTATTTTACCCTCACTATCCTAAGTAATTAACTTAATGCCATTACCTTCCCTCTCTTTTGAGAGACTAACCTAACGGTAATCCACATGACGAAACATCGAACTTGCAAATCAGAACCGTATACTCTCACTAAATCTGATCTTTGTGCCACTCATCAACGGTTCTGATTTTCGATAATTAATCTGTCAAACTGGAATAGTTGGTTGGATTAGGATGAGAGTTTGTTGGATTTACGAGTTTGCCCTTTTGGCTTTGGATAAGAAGAAAGCATCTGATTGACAGACACGGTGTTCTCTGGTTGTTTAATTGGGTCCCACACGGAGAATCAACATTGAACAGCGTGGCACCCACCGGCCATCAGACATGTTCCGACTTCCGAGATTAATTTAATATGGTGTCTCGGGTTTACCGGATAATATGTGAAGACACGTCTCTGTTGCAAGCAGTTTTTGACACGTTTATTAAATGGGATTGCATGGTTGTATTCGGACTTCGGAGAACCGTTTATTATGGTTTCTAGGGTTCATCGGATAATGTTCAGATGAAGCGATGTAGATGTGACACGTGTCTCTACCAATTAGAACTGGTGTTCAGCGGAAATCTAGATAGGATTCCATTTTTATGGTCTATAGGTGGACCTGTATCACCACTCACCAGGTAGACCAACTGCAACTTGCAACTTAGTAGGATATTTTGGTTTATGAATGGTTATAGAACCGTCATTAATTGGTTCTGTTTCATCTTTAACTTGTTTATTGGTCTACTGATTTGATCAACGATTCGCTGATTTGGATGGTTGAATTATTGAGCCATTCACTCCACATAATAGTTTTGACCATTTTTATTTTAATTGATTTTTAAAGTTTTTTGTTTTGCAAATTAGAATGATCCTTCATTCAAATCAGACCATTGAACCATTAACCCAAAAACCGATAGTCCAAATGGTTCTGATTTCATATCAATTTTTAAAACATTGTGTCTAGAAATGTTAACAATTTGGGTTTGATACGGGTTTTCCTCAATCCAAACCCGACCTTCCATGTGCCATTTATGGTATGTCTATGCTGACTAAGCTTATATTACAAATATTTCAATGTAGCGATGTCAATGAATCGGGTTCACCATGAGCTTAGCTCAAACCGTAACTGACTCAAAACCCGATCAGGGCTGTTCAACCCTAACCCAGAGTGTTGGGTTAAATAGTTAACCCGGCAATTGGCCGATACCTCCTTTATTGTTAGGGATGTTAGTGGGTCAGAGTAGGTAGTTAACCTGTATTGATTTGACCCTACTGGGTTAGGGATAGGTTAGCCTTGGTTGCCATTTGGGTCAGGTTTGGGTTGAAACTAAACGTTGTCAAACCAACGCACTGATTTTGAATATATAACCTTAGTTTGGTTGAATATATATGTATATATTATTTGTTGGAGCGGGTCAGATCGGGTTTGGCATCGCATGTTATTTAATTGGGCAGGGTTTCCAGATGGATTTTATTTGAGTGATAACCATACTAAACCCGACCGCGTTGGCCTTTATTGGTATACAACTTCTAAAACAAGAAATTTTGAAAAGTTAAAACAACGACTTACTTGAAAGATGATAACAAAGAAAGTGACTTTTCCTCAAAAATCATTTTTCCTTTTCTCCATTTTTGTACTATTTATGGAGTCTTTTGGATTTATAGCATCTAAAATTGTTTCTCTATTGCTTGGAAAGTTGGAATCTTATAAAGTCTTTTTTTCTTTCTTGGAATAAAAAAAATGCTTTTTTTGTCAACCAATATTAATTTGTGAGGAAAAGCAAAAGCAAAAGCAATAAATTAGATATAGTAATAATTCTAAAAATGAAATATCGGAAAAACTTTGTAACCAACCAAAAGCAGTAACCCATGATATGGGATTTATCAAAATTCAACCGGGGAGGGGGGGCGTCTGATTGACCAAAACCCTTTCAATGTCTTTTTCAGCACCATAGGTTTTTTCTTTTCAAAGTAAAACTTCAAACCATTTTTGTAATAAGCCTTTGTGAGTACACAACATGTGATATACAATGAAATATTTACGTAATCCAACTTCAATGTTAAGTGACGTGGTTTAATTCTCAAAAAAAAATATTTTCAATTATTTTATTCATGATATCAAAGTCATTTTTAATTTATTTTATTAATAATAGTATGTCAACTTTTGATTAATTTTCGTTTAACAAATTAATGATATTTAATATGGGAATGCAATTAATTTTAAGAAAAAGAACTCTCTCTAAGAAAATCTCCATCTGAGGATTGTCGTCAGGTTCTTCTCTTTTTCCCTTCTTCCCATTTCAATCATTCATTTTCTTCCCACTCTCTCCCTTTCTTCTAAGTTTTCTTCTTCCCTTCTCCTTTCCCTCACTCCTCTCTCTTCTTCTTGATCAACTCAGTTTTCAACCCACTCTCTTTCATTTATTCTCCTTATTTTTTTCTTTCTTCTTGTTTTTTCTTTTGTTCTTTTTTGCAGGGATTTTTGTATAGGAGACAGAGTGTTGGGCGGTGGCCTTAATCGCTACTTTGATTCATCGTTGGTGACTATTTCCTTATTTTCCTTTACAGACATTTATAGTTCCAAGTGGATCCAGTTCCGATGATAACAAATTCGACGATTGCACTTCCAGGTGATTAACATTCCACTTGGTTCCAGTTCTGGCGACAACAATTTCAGCAGTTTTAGTTCCGGGTGGTTAAAGTTCTAGTTGATTCCACTTCCGGCAATAACAGTCTCAATTCCGGGTCATTAAAGTTCCAGTTGGTTCCACTTCTGGTGATAACAATTCCGAAGATTACTTTTTCCAAGTGGTTAAACTTCTAATTGGTTCCAATTTCGGCGATAACAATTCCGTCGATTATGGTTCTAGACTTTTAAAGTTCTAGTTAGCTCTAATTCATTAAAGTTTCGGTGTTTATGGTTCCAAATGGTTAAAGTTATGACGAATTGATACTGTGTTTATCCCTCTCTTTCGGTGGTTGGAGATGCGCTCAATTATCTCTTCTATTGGTGATTTTGCCTTACCTTTTGTCTATTACAGAAGTTTCTTCATTTTCTCCTTTATCCACTGTAAATATTTTGTTCTTTCTATAGACTTGTATTCTTGCTTGGCATTGTTACTACTTCTCTGTTTTCATACAATGTTTCTGTACTTTTTTGCTTGGTATTGTTACTACTACTCTGTATTCATACAAGTTCCATAGTTGAATGAAATATGATGTTTTTCTTTCAAATAAAAAAAGAGTACAAATACAAATATGTAGAGTGCAAAAGTTTGTATTTTGTATGTATTTGCACTGTACATATTTGCATTTGTACTCTTTCCAATCTGAGCCATAGGGAAGAAAATAAGGGTGCATATTAGGTAATGTGAGATTTGGTTAAAGTAAATCCTAACCTAACCCAACTTTTTTATCTTTTATTTCATTTTGCTAAAATGTTCTTATTTATTAGATTATATTTCTTAGATTTAAAGTTTTTTTTTGGGAAAAACACATGAAAACTTATCCATTCAACAAATTACTCAATTACATCAAATTCCAAAAAGAAATCAGTTGGTATGGACCAAGTAACAATAGATGAACAAAAGAGAGCAAGTTTGGCAATATAGTGTGCAACCCGATTACAACTAATTGGGGTGAAAGTAATTAAGGTGATATTTGGCATCAATGCTGATTCCTCACCCCTAATTTTTCAAAAATTGGTGATTACTTGAATCAGTGATTTCCCAAAAATCACCTTTTTTTTGGTTGTTTGGTATCGTTTCCTCCAAGCTTTGATATTAGTTTGTATTGGTTTTCATTAGTCATTGGAATTATTATTCCATACTGCACTACCATGACTATTGAGAGCTTGATTCTTCTGTTGTCATGGATTAATATTAGATCCATATTCTAAATTTCCACATGCAAACTATCATTCTTAGTTCCAAAAAAAAAACTATCATTCTTAGTATGTTATGTAATATGGAGTACTGGGATGAATGATTGCTTAGTTTATTTTCACATTGATTCCAACTAAACTTCAAAAAAAAAGTGTAAGGCTAGTGGTTCTTTGCTATGATAGGATAGTATTAAAAATGGTGTGTCATAAGAATATGTTCACATGGATTCTAGTTATTCTTTCACAAAAGTGCCTCATTATGTGTGTTATTTGCAAAAGAATTTGAACACTTGCTTGTGTTGAATAACATAGCAAAAAACAAGAGTTTTTAAACAATCGATTAAAGAAAAAACACTCCACCATCGCTAAACAAGTGAGCTTCCGGTGAATGATTTTGAGATCAAAGGAGAAAAGCATACCTTAGGTGGTGGCTTGGTGGTTGAGCTTCCGAACTTGAATTGAATAGAACGAACAAGAACCTGCTAAAAAAAACATTAGATGCCCTCCATTTATGAACAGAGGAGCTGTCAACCATCCATTGCAATGACAATTAATCCCTTTTGAAAATGAAAACAATATAGTAGAAATCATAATGTAGCCACCTTCCAGTGGTCATTTGCAGTGGTGGGTGGTTGCTACTCCATGAGAAAAGAGCAGAGGTAACATACCTCAAGTAGCGGTGTTCTCTTGTACCCTATACCCTAAACCCTAAACCCAACACTGTGAGATGGTGAAGCATTGAATCACTTTTTCCCTTGGCAACGTCAAATGCCACATCATAGGAAAAAAATCGAAATGGTGGGAAATCGAGGAATCGCCTAGGGCCAATTTCAAGGAATGAGTATCTGTCGATTTCCCAGGAATTGACAAAATCAGCCAACCAAACAAAATTTTCACCATTGATTCTTCTATAGCTAATGTGGATCCGATGTGGCACTGATTTTTGGGAAATCGACA